TTGTAACCGATCGAGCTTTTACTCAATAAGTGTAAAACAAAATTTTGTACATGATTGTAAATAAACTTTCATGGTGAGATATAAAGCTTCGGTTATTTTATATAATCAACGAACACTCAAGTTAAGTGGTGCATCAACCACCACAGCCTGTATTCTTTTTTACTCGTCAGATTAGGAATAATGTCGCGCGGGCCGGATAGAACATTTCAGGGGGCCGCATCTGGCCCGCGGGCCGTAGTTTGCCCATCACTGGTATAAAGTAAAATAACAAAGAAATGGTGGTATGATAATACAGGATGAGTCAAGAGGAGAGGAAAATCAATTGGCAAATTATAGTATGGTTCTTTGTAAATTAAAAAATTTTATATGAACAGGGCTATTATAGTATTATCAGTAGTTTTGGAGATATAGCTGTTTGAAAGTTTCTCACAAACATCAATACAATCACTAACAAATGCTCAAAAATTGAACTATGCATGACTGACAAAAGTCAATAAAAAATTACATCACTTTGACTTACATTCCTGTCACTAACATCTGCTTTAGATAATGCAATGCAAAAATTTTGTCAATGGATGCACATCATCACCAAGTAATTCAGAGAAATGGTACATCATTTCTGGACACCAGTTGTACAGTGTATTGAGGTTCACAATTCAATTTTTGAGCACTTATTGTGAATGTAACACATGTATCATTCATTATTATGGTATGTATGCGAGCTATTTTCAAATAGCTGAATCTCTGAAATTAGAGAATTATACCCATGTTCATAGGAAGGTTTTTGTTTACAATGACTCATACTATCTCCCAATTGATTTCCCTCTCTACCTGACACACACTATAATAAATAATTATATTATTTAAAAGTAAAATATTGTAATAAAATAAAAGTTCAAAGATCAATGAATTAATTACTTTTTGGATATATATACAAACTAACAATGAAAAAAATTTAAAAAGAAAAGTAAATCTGTCTAACTATTCTGATCAGTATAATATTATAATAAGGTATGATAGAGTCATAGTTTTATTATGGTTTCTAAATTTAGTTTTATGGTCATTAGAAGAATCACATTCACAGATTCTGTGAATCTGATTATATTTTAATAAACTACTATTTTATTTTATTAGTTCATTCAAATGAATCACTATGAAATATCTATCCATATATATATATATAAGGGCAGTTCAACTTCTGTCTGGAATTTTAGAAATGGCAATGGAGTTGTATGTGTTACATAGTCCTAACTAATGTTTCTTTCTCTAAATACTCTCACTCCACACACTGACATTTCTCCGGTTGTTTTAGCAATAATGTTATGCTTGCAGAATATAAGCCTTTTGGCTGGTGTCAGAGCCACTACATGATGAACTCTGACTTCAGGGAATTCATTATGCTAAAGTCAGATATTTCAGATGATTCTAGATGGATCTCCTCTTTTTGAAAAATTTTTCAAAAGGGTGAAACAGATAATTGCATGGCAACAGATTGGCACTGCAGGCTGAATGATCTAATTTTCCAAAAGTCCATTGATTGCCTCTACTGTGCATAGGATCAAGCCCGATTGATGTCAAATTAATTTAAGAAAAATCAAATCATATCTATAATGAAATTCTCAAATATAATTTCTGAATTCCAATACTTCAATTTTAGATTAAACATCAGTACCTTAGTAACAAATTATATTAGCTAATATGTTCTAACTTTAATAAAATAGTAATAAGCTAACATTGATGAATTTACAAATTAAAATAAATTTTTTAAGTCATTTCTTTTCTTTTTAATGATATAATATTTTTAAAATTTAAAATTATTCAGATTTTTAAAAAATTTAAATTTGAGAATCTCCTATGAAAATATATTTTAAAATTAACATTTACTTCAATTAAAATTAACATTTTAATATTAGTATGATAATTATTACATTTATTCCACAATTTATTTCAACATTTATAGCAAAAGCAGCAGCAGCAACAACAACAACAACAAAAACAACAAAAAATAAATTTAATACAAATCTGCATACTACATTGTGATAATGATAAAATAAGACAATCTACAACCAATAACCAATGTGATGTATGGGAAAGCAATAAATTACAAACGTTTTCATAACACCTTCTGAGTTTTTCCTCAGGTTTTCTTAATTCTAAATAAACTGGATGTTCCAAAATCATTCTAGAATATAAAATTCGAATATAAAATCAAATCGTAAGATGAAGAGTTCAAATAAAGGGAATTTATGCACATGTGTTCCCACTTCATCTTAAATGTCATAAATTGGATGGCATTAGATTTATTAATCTAATGCCATAAATTTCAAATTATAAACTTTAAATAAAGATTTTTATTATGACAAAAATAACAATAAATTCACTTTAAACCATGTGATGTTTAAAACTAACCATGTAATTTTTTACTCTTTAAAGTAGTATAAAGCAGTGATGGGCAAACTTTTTAAAGAGCGGACCAAAGGAAAAGAAGAAAACTTTAGGCGGGCCAATATAATTGTAACCTAGCGCTGCATCTGAAAATCCAGGTGGCGCTATAAAAACATGTGCAGGCCGTCCGCCATATTTCTTTTTCTCTCTTTCGGCTACGCTACGCACGACGAGTGGATGTTCTGTACCGAAGCATGCTTGTAACCGATCGAGCTTTTACTCAATAAGTGTAAAACAAAAGTTTGTACATGATTGTAAATAAACGTTCATGGTGAGATATAAAGCTTCGGTTATTTTATATAATCAACGAACACTCAAGTTAAGTGGTGCATCAACCACCACAGCCTGTATTCTTTTTTACTCGTCAGATTAGGAATAATGTCGCGCGGGCCGGATAGAACATTTCAGGGGGCCGCATCTGGCCCGCGGGCCGTAGTTTGCCCATCACTGGTATAAAGTAAAATAACAAAGAAATGGTGGTATGATAATACAGGATGAGTCAAGAGGAGAGGAAAATCAATTGGCAAATTATAGTATGGTTCTTTGTAAATTAAAAAATTTTATATGAACAGGGCTATTATAGTATTATCAGTAGTTTTGGAGATATAGCTGTTTGAAAGTTTCTCACAAACATCAATACAATCACTAACAAATGCTCAAAAATTGAACTATGCATGACTGACAAAAGTCAATAAAAAATTACATCACTTTGACTTACATTCCTGTCACTAACATCTGCTTTAGATAATGCAATGCAAAAATTTTGTCAATGGATGCACATCATCACCAAGTAATTCAGAGAAATGGTACATCATTTCTGGACACCAGTTGTACAGTGTATTGAGGTTCACAATTCAATTTTTGAGCACTTATTGTGAATGTAACACATGTATCATTCATTATTATGGTATGTATGCGAGCTATTTTCAAATAGCTGAATCTCTGAAATTAGAGAATTATACCCATGTTCATAGGAAGGTTTTTGTTTACAATGACTCATACTATCTCCCAATTGATTTCCCTCTCTACCTGACACACACTATAATAAATAATTATATTATTTAAAAGTAAAATATTGTAATAAAATAAAAGTTCAAAGATCAATGAATTAATTACTTTTTGGATATATATACAAACTAACAATGAAAAAAATTTAAAAAGAAAAGTAAATCTGTCTAACTATTAAAAGATCATACAAGTCCAAAATATTTGTGAATTTCTAAAATGATTTGATGGCAGAAACAATGTAAAATTATTTATGAAAATAAAACTATAATGGAAAAATAAATTTGAATGATGTGAAATTATTTTAATTGTAAAATTTATAATCAAAATGATTTATTATTGATTATTTACCAGTGCTGAAAGGAGATATTCATTCATACTTGTATGCACATATATGACATTATTAAGAATGAAGTATAATACTTTTAGCTTGATTACATTTTTACTCAAATTTTGGTAACATTTATGCCATCTATTAAAATATGAAAATATGTAAATTTCAGATAGAATTATTTTATATTTAAAGTTAAAAATATATATATAATTACCATAACAAAATACTTTAATAATATTTTACAAACAATTTTACAGTTTTTCATAGTTAGTATAATTTTTTCATTTTTCTATTTTTAATTAAATATAACCTCCATCCTTTGCACACTCAATTATTTTATTTAATATTTGAAATTGGATTCCAGTTAGCAACATATAGTCACCAACTGACAGACTGAAAAAAAATCAAATAATTATTTTATAATATTTACTGAAATAATCAGTAAACATTATAAAATGTTTAGCATTGCTCATTATTTTAATATTTTATTCATAATCAGCTTTATTAGTTGCAAAATTTATCTTTAATAACCATTATTTTTAAAAATCTATTTGAAATAATTATAGTTTAGAACTGTTATAATATAATTTTGAATTATAATGATTTATAAGAAACAATTCAGAAATAATTAAATAACTTGTTTCAGTTTCACAAAATAAAAACTTAAGTTTTGATCATTTTTGATTGATTTAGTTAATTAAATACAATTATACTATAACTGAAATCATTTTTAATTAATAGCTTTAAAGTTAAAAAATTTTACCTCTAAAATAAGATGCTTTAATTCATCATCAGATAAAAATGATGGTTTATAATGACCTTCTGTATATGAATTCATAGAACCTAGAGAAAATATTTATTAGACAAATTTTATAGTATTCAAGAAAATATTTTTTAATATTTGTTTTATTACAAAATAAATATAATACCTCTCAGAGTTTTCATATGCTGAACAGCCATACGAAGAACAGTCAATTTATCTAATTTTCTTGACATGGCATTACACATCGGAATCATAGAAGAAAGTTCAGTAATATAAGTGTTCATTTTGTCTCTTCTACGTTTTTCGATTTCACTGTGATTTTGTCTTTAAATATTATAAGCAAGTATTTGTATTATTAAAATGATGTTATGAACAAATATCAATAATGTGTAATGTTCTATATTTATTTTAAATTCTACAATGAGAATTATTTTCAAAAAGTTACAATAAGTCATAATAATAAAGCTATATTCATTAAATTATTAAATATTTTAAATTAAATGTTTTGTTATTCAGTTTGAAAAATTTAAATTCATTTAAATAAATTGAAGTGAACTAATAGCATCACTGTTATGAGGCTGATTTAATTTTTTTAAATATTGTTTTAAAATTTTTTTAATTTAAAAAAGGTCATTTTAACTTCTATTTTATTAATCTAGAAAATAATAAAAAATAAAAATTAAATCAATGTTTTCCTTTTGGTTTAATTTTTGTTTTTTTATAAATAGTAATAAATTAAGGTTGAAACTAATTTTTTGCCCTTGAATAATATGACTCTAGAAAATTTCAAAATTCAATATTGGATAATTTTTTCTCTTTTAATAAAAACATTTAAAAATTTAGTTGCAAAATAAAGTAATGAAAATTTTGATTTAATAGCATATTTTTATTTCATGCTTTTGTGGTTATTTTTGTGAATTTTATGATCTATTATGAAGTCAGTTCTAATTATTTTTTAAATGAAAATTCTCTCGTCAAACTAATCTTTATTTTTTCATATTAAATACATTTCCTGATTAGTGTGGATTCAATAACTTTTTGGAATGCATTAGCTATACCAGCTGGGATTTTCCTTTACATAAAATCTCTTAACTTATAAGTGAAGCAATTAAATTTTGTTCTATTTTGCTGAATTAAAAAGGTCCCTACATATTTTATGAAATCTTTCAAAAAAAGAAAAAGAGACAGTTAGAAATAATTTCTCTAAACTCTTAAATAAGTAAAATATTAAACTAATATGATATCAAATATTTTAATTCAGTTATACTTCTGATACAAAGATAAAAAAAATAATGTACAGTACAAGATACAAAATTATTTTAAACTATTGCATATCATTATAGTATTGAGTTATGATCAGTGATGGATTAAAAATTTTTAGAGTCTTTTGCACGAAGTTGACCAACTAGTCGAACAAGCAATAATGGTTGCTATAGAATATAATATGTATCAATAAAATCAGTACTGTCAGTTTGGTGGACCAAAGTAAGAACTCATCTTAGTTGGTTTACATGATACAACTACCACTGACAATTTGTCTGTGATTCAAATGTTTACACAATGCCTTGGAGTATGACTATCAAATTGTTCTGATTTAAAAGCATGCACAAGAGCATTTATTTCTCTTGAAAATAGTAAGAATACAATCTAGCATATGACTGTGATTTCATCATTGATTAGTTTAAAGATATGACAATGAGAGAAATATCTGACAAATTAATTTTGTGTGGCATCATTGTGACTTGTCAAACCAAGGTCCAAAAAGAAATTGTTTGTTTGTTCAAACAAGACAAATCCATATAAATATAGTAGTTTGATGATATTTAATCTTGTACTCTGTACAGTGTAAAATAAAATGTAACTATATAATTCTCCAAATTTATAATTTTTTCATGCTGATGTTTAATAATTTTTTAAGTATATAAGTATTTTATTAATATTTTAAGTATAAAATAATAACAAAATAAAATCTCAACTAAATAATTCTTGAACATTCCATAATCCTGTGTCTACAAGTGTAGGAACTCTACTGGTAATTCAATGATCTGAAGAAAGGAAATAAAATCTATTATGTATTTATGAATCTTGATTCAAAATTTCATTTCTATGAAAGTTGATGTCTGCTTAAATTAAATCTTTATAGTAGAAATTTAATTGTGCCATTTGTTTCTATTTTAGCTTGGCATTAATGTAATAATAATTTGTAATAATAAATAATAAAATTTGTAAACTGAATTAAAATACAGTATTTAATATTATAGTAGTTTGATATTTCATATATTTAAAAATTTAAATTAATGATTGACTTTTTCTTTTGTTAAAAGATTTTTGACAGAGAAATTTCATAAAAACAATGTAAAACATATACAGTTTAAAGTTAAATATAGTTTAAAAGGGTTTTTTATATTAATCATTTAATTATTTAAAAAATTAAATCTTACCTTTTGGTTTCATCTGAATCCAGTTTCATTTTCATATCATCATCAAATTCATTCATTTCACTAAAATGAACGTATATAAAATTTATCATCAATTCTTTACTAAAAATGTATAATAAAATTTAATATATCAAAATTTAATTAAAAAATTAACATTAATTAACAAAGTTAACAAATAAGTAATCTCTTAAGCATGATTTTTTCAAATCTTAAATTATCATTTCTTATAAAGAATAATCTTCATGTTGTTTTGTATACATTTTTGATGTATTTGTATTCCATGATAAATTAAAAATATTTAAAAAAACACTATATAAAAATACTGTTTTTAGAATAAATAATTTGTTTAATTTAATGTTTTCAAACATTCTTCAAACATTAGATAAAGAGTTTCATATATTTTTGGTTCAAATGTTTTTAATGTGTCATGATATAAAGATTAAACTTTATATAAATATAGGATTAAAATCATAGATCTATTGTAGGATGACAAGGTACTCTGATTTCCAGAGACTGTCCCTGGTTTTACCTGTTTATAATATTTGATTGTAGAATCAGTTTGTAATTGAATCAATTTTATTAACTTGTCAATAAGACATCACCAATAAATCAATAAATAAATTTTTAAAAATATCAAAGTTCAATCAGTTTTAGACCCATTTTCACAAATTCTGAAATGTGTCCCTTGCTGGATTATAAATAACATGGTCAATTTATCCATTGTCTAAAACAGTAGTCGCCAACCTTTCTGATCTCACGGACCACTAAACTCACAATTTTGAATCCTGCAGACCACTATCATAAATTTTTTTATGATACAAACATCTATAGAATAATGATCATAAAAGTCCATTGTACTTTATTAATATGAAATTCAATTGTATAATTATAACAAATAAGTGTGAAGTTTGTTGTGCTTACTTCAAATAAGTTTATGAATTTTTAGCTCCTTTACACAAAGGACGACAATTGCACTCATATTATCATTGATTATTTATTTATTTATTTATTAACATTATTATTTATTGATAACAGTCATTTNCAATACAGTATTATTTATTTATTTATTAACATTATTATTTATTGATAACAGTCATTTCGTTTTTATATTCAAATCAAAAACCCCCAATGAGTGAGTAAAAGCAACCAAGCATTTTGCATTTCTTTTGTAATACTTCGCCTAACCTTCAGTTGATCAATGTCCAAATTTCTCCACGGACTGCCAAAATTTTCTTGCAGGCAACTACTGGTCTAAAAATAGATTTTGATTAATAATTTTTTTTTATAAATAATAATTAGGTGAAAATGGCAATTATTCTATTTGATTAAATGAATATTTATTAAGCATATACGAATCATTTAAGGGTTCTGTTTCTATTTATATATTTGACTGGAATAAGCAAATAGATTCAATTTTATCTCCTTCAGTAATATCTTCTCTCTGGATTTTATTTGAAAAACATATCTGAGATTAAAAGTTTTTTATTTAAAACTTTTAGTTTTTTTTTAATAGACAACTCTGAATATTACAATTTATACTTCAGATGCTATTTTACTATTGTATATCCATCCAAATATTTTATGACATTATAAAATATTCAATAAAAATACCATTAATGAAAGTAATGAATTCATTTCAAATACTTAATTAATTAAATAGATAAATAAATATTGTCATTTTATTAAAATTTTTTGCATGTAATAATGGTATTTACAATAAATATGTATAAATTATTTGATTACATGTATTCAAATTAATCTATAGATATTTATACTAATATGTTCTAAATTGAATAATGTGGCACCTCAATATTTATTATTATATAAGCATATTTCTTTAAAGAATGTTAAATGTATGCTTCTTGAAATAAAACTGCTGTAAAATAAGAGTATTGATTAAAAACAATTTTTAAAATTGCACACATATATATGTAAAGCATAGAAAACAATTTAAATAAATATTATGTCATTTATTTCATATAATAAGTCTGTAAAATAATAAATAAAATCTGTAAATTTTATATTATGATTTTAATGAAATTAAGTTGATTCATGAATTTTGTTAGTCTTATTTCAATATTAGCTTGTTTAAGCTTAATAAAAGGCAAAAGTGATATTTTAAACCATCAATCTGTTTACTAACTGTAATATACTGTATATTTACTGTAGATGTTAATTAATACAAAAAGTGATAAATATTGAAGGGTAAAAATTTCTATTTTGAATTTAACAATTTATTCATATTAAAGAGTAGGAAATGATGATTTATATACAAAATATTTATTTTGTTTAAATACAATATAAATTTTAAAAAGATTTATGATTATTACAGTTTCAATTTAAATAAATTTTATAAAGTATATATATTTTAAAATTGATAATTGTTTATAAGCCATATTACTTATAACAATTCAGATTACTGTTGTAATTTTGTTTTGATTTCAACAAAGGCTTGATACATGTCAATTACAATATTTTGAAATGTACAAAATATACCCATTTTATTTTTTAACTAATTGATTTTGATTAAAAATAATACTTTAAATAAAGAATATTTTATTTTCCTTTTATTCTCTTATAAAAATAAAAATATTTACTATTATTAGAGTTTCAATTTTAATAAATTGCATAAAATATAAATATTTTTAAATGAATGGGAATTTAAATCATATGAAAATATTGTAGAACTACGAATTTTCTTTCCAATCGATATATTGTAGTAAAAAAAAATATAAGAAATTCTAAAAAAAATTTATGAATTAATTTATGAGAGGATTTTCCANTTTTAATGTGTCATGATATAAAGATTAAACTTTATATAAATATAGGATTAAAATCATAGATCTATTGTAGGATGACAAGGTACTCTGATTTCCAGAGACTGTCCCTGGTTTTACCTGTTTATAATATTTGATTGTAGAATCAGTTTGTAATTGAATCAATTTTATTAACTTGTCAATAAGACATCACCAATAAATCAATAAATAAATTTTTAAAAATATCAAAGTTCAATCAGTTTTAGACCCATTTTCACAAATTCTGAAATGTGTCCCTTGCTGGATTATAAATAACATGGTCAATTTATCCATTGTCTAAAACAGTAGTCGCCAACCTTTCTGATCTCACGGACCACTAAACTCACAATTTTGAATCCTGCAGACCACTATCATAAATTTTTTTATGATACAAACATCTATAGAATAATGATCATAAAAGTCCATTGTACTTTATTAATATGAAATTCAATTGTATAATTATAACAAATAAGTGTGAAGTTTGTTGTGCTTACTTCAAATAAGTTTATGAATTTTTAGCTCCTTTACACAAAGGACAACAATTGCACTCATATTATCATTGATTATTTATTTATTTATTTATTAACATTATTATTTATTGATAACAGTCATTTCGTTTTTATATTCAAATCAAAAACCCCCAATGAGTGAGTAAAAGCAACCAAGCATTTTGCATTTCTTTTGTAATACTTCGCCTAACCTTCAGTTGATCAATGTCCAAATTTCTCCACGGACTGCCAAAATTTTCTTGCAGGCAACTACTGGTCTAAAAATAGATTTTGATTAATAATTTTTTTTTATAAATAATAATTAGGTGAAAATGGCAATTATTCTATTTGATTAAATGAATATTTATTAAGCATATACGAATCATTTAAGGGTTCTGTTTCTATTTATATATTTTACTGGAATAAGCAAATAGATTCAATTTTATCTCCTTCAGTAATATCTTCTCTCTGGATTTTATTTGAAAAACATATCTGAGATTAAAAGTTTTTTATTTAAAACTTTTAGTTTTTTTTTAATAGACAACTCTGAATATTACAATTTATACTTCAGATGCTATTTTACTATTGTATATCCATCCAAATATTTTATGACATTATAAAATATTCAATAAAAATACCATTAATGAAAGTAATGAATTCATTTCAAATACTTAATTAATTAAATAGATAAATAAATATTGTCATTTTATTAAAATTTTTTGCATGTAATAATGGTATTTACAATAAATATGTATAAATTATTTGATTACATGTATTCAAATTAATCTATAGATATTTATACTAATATGTTCTAAATTGAATAATGTGGCACCTCAATATTTATTATTATATAAGCATATTTCTTTAAAGAATGTTAAATGTATGCTTCTACATTTAACATTCTTTAAAGAAATATGCTGTAAAATAAGAGTATTGATTAAAAACAATTTTTAAAATTGCACACATATATATGTAAAGCATAGAAAACAATTTAAATAAATATTATGTCATTTATTTCATATAATAAGTCTGTAAAATAATAAATAAAATCTGTAAATTTTATATTATGATTTTAATGAAATTAAGTTGATTCATGAATTTTGTTAGTCTTATTTCAATATTAGCTTGTTTAAGCTTAATAAAAGGCAAAAGTGATATTTTAAACCATCAATCTGTTTACTAACTGTAATATACTGTATATTTACTGTAGATGTTAATTAATACAAAAAGTGATAAATATTGAAGGGTAAAAATTTCTATTTTGAATTTAACAATTTATTCATATTAAAGAGTAGGAAATGATGATTTATATACAAAATATTTATTTTGTTTAAATACAATATAAATTTTAAAAAGATTTATGATTATTACAGTTTCAATTTAAATAAATTTTATAAAGTATATATATTTTAAAATTGATAATTGTTTATAAGCCATATTACTTATAACAATTCAGATTACTGTTGTAATTTTGTTTTGATTTCAACAAAGGCTTGATACATGTCAATTACAATATTTTGAAATGTACAAAATATACCCATTTTATTTTTTAACTAATTGATTTTGATTAAAAATAATACTTTAAATAAAGAATATTTTATTTTCCTTTTATTCTCTTATAAAAATAAAAATATTTACTATTATTAGAGTTTCAATTTTAATAAATTGCATAAAATATAAATATTTTTAAATGAATGGGAATTTAAATCATATGAAAATATTGTAGAACTACGAATTTTCTTTCCAATCGATATATTGTAGTAAAAAAAAAATATAAGAAATTCTAAAAAAAATTTATGAATTAATTTATGAGAGGATTTTCCAACCTGACAGCTTTTCTGTTTGGTAGAAGATCAGTTGTCGAATCGATATTCATGTCCATTTTTTTTATAATGCGTTTTCCATACGACTATATATTATATACAATATATAGCACATATATATGTAGCTTTATTATATAATACGATTCAAGTTAAAATAGAATAAAATATTTGTTACAAAATCAATTTGAATTATTTTATTTTCCGAATCTTTCTTTACATTCTTCTCTATATTAATTAATAATTATCGACCCGTATCTCGATTTCTTTTTCAAAAATGAAGATGACATGCCTCCATTAAGATTTTTAATAAAAGATTAATGTATTTATTATGTTAATTCGTAATTTTATGCCATAATTATTCGTATACTTTACGTTATTTTTCACAAGGCTGATTTTTGCCGGTTGCTGAGGGAGTAAAAACACGGGATGACTCGGATCCGATCCAGATCAAAATCAGAAATTTTCACTTGATCTTTGACCCGGGTGTTTCGGATCATTTCTTTCTTCGTCCACCTGACCGTACCAATTCATGCGTGTTTCTGTTAATTTAATTAATACAACCTCTTAAGTGTCCGCAGCAAAAACAATTGCCATTCTTTTCTTTCTTCTAAATACTTTACAATGAGTTGTTGAATCGTCGTAACCCATAGTAATTGTGATGTTCAGAGATTTTAGTTATAGTCGTCACGTAGACAATTTGCGCAAGACTGAAAGTTCCCAGATTAATTCTCTGTCTTGTGAGTACTTTTTAATTATATCAATATTGGGTTCGGACTGGTCTACAATACGAGCAACTGGATGATGTGGAACGGAGCCGATATATCAAAGACTGTCCGTGAAAAATTTCTGGAGTTTTTCATATTTGAATATTTGGAGACATCATATTTGAATGGCTGCATACAGTGCCGGCCCGAGACAAGTTTTAGGATGGAGCGAGATCCTATTATGGCGCCCTCTTGGTTGCCCCTAATTTACACCCTTTAATTTTCTTTACCACTGAGGTGCCCCCTAAAACTTAGCGCTTGGAGCGGCTGCTCCGTTCGCCCTATGGTAGGGCCGGCTCTGGCTGCATATTACAAATAATTCTATTTTATGGAAACATTCAGAGAATGTACAGTAGAGCCTCGATTATCCGACCCCCGATTAACCGACATATCGGTTAACCGACCGTCCTAGTCGGCAAATTTCAAATGTCCGCTAGTGATATGGCGCTACAATATTTGGCTATGTCTTGGCTACTTTAATATTATTTTTACGNTGGTATAATTTTTTATTGTTTTTATATTTTTCAACATATTTATTTTGTTTGTACAAATTAAAAAAAAATAATTTTTAACGATACAATAGTCTTTGTTAGGCTTAACATCGACGAAAATTCAACGCGAAGCGACACGCAACGGAGAAAAATTTCAACATCGGATACCTTAAACTATTTTTTCATACATAAATCGGTTATCCGAAATATCAGTTATACGAACAACCTCAGTTCCCAATTGATTCGGAAAATCGACGCTCTACTGTATTTGAATTTAACTTAATTATCAATTGTCGATTTATTAATTTCACAGAACCCTATGTGTTCATAAAAGAGAAAACTGTGTATAAAAGCATTAGTAACTGGAATACTCAGGCAAAATGACAATAATTTGACTAAGTTAGGGATTGGTTTACTACAATACAAAATTACATGGGAAAATTAATTTTTATAGTCTGTCTTGACGAGATCATTTGTTGTATAATTCGTTACTTTCTACTTTGCATATAAAATGAGTGTTCTCGACATAATAAATTACAGTTTATGCGTATAAATTTTGAGTCTTGCAATCCTGATTTCCGACCAATTTACAAGAGTTAGATTATGCAGGATCGCGGGGCCCTGTACTGTCGTACCGTTCGCACCGTCCACCGGCCGGCCCTGGTGTTAAAGTACTCCACCTTTCCATCCCCCATCACTTGGCATCTCTATTTTAAACTGGCAGAATCCTTGATAAATATGGAGAAAGAACTTATATACGTAGAACGGAGAGTCAAACTTAGCAGAGAACGAAATTTGTTTGTCACTTGAAACAACGATGATTGCTGGGCAAAACTCGGGTCTCTGAGGTTCGAGCGCAGCCTTTGTGGAATTTTCAAGGAACTTTTTTCATGAATAGATGGTTCGGATAAATCTTATTAAGCGTACTTGTTTAAGGGGTTAAAAATAATAAAATTAAAATAAAAAATTAAACAAAACTTTATATTAAAATCACTTTATTTTCCAATTGATTACAAAACTTTGTATAAAGCCAATTTGAAATGTCATTCCTCAATCAATTGACCAGTCTTCTTCTTCCTCCTCCTCTTCTTCAAGTTGGTATTTTTTCAAGCAATATTTAAAAAGGCCTACCTCGGCATTACTATTCCACTTTTACGTAAAAAAAAAAATTTAAATAAATGATTAACAAAGTAAAATTCCATTAATAATTACGAGAAATAATCTTTACCATATGTTGTGTTGTAGATTTGTTCATCATGCAGAAATAAAACTACAATTTAAAAAATTAATATTAATTTAATAATCTAGTATTAAAATAAAAATTATAAAATAATAAGTGTAATAAAATATATAAACATTTTAAAAATTAATTGCAAAATTATTATTATTATTTGCTAATGATATTCAAATTTTTGTGCAACGCGATTTCAAAAGACCAAAATAAGCACTGAAATTAGGTCGCTTTGCTCTTGAGTCTGCAACTTGTCCACCTGTGACTCAGTGGATAGAACCACTGAATTTTGATTAGTTGGTCGAGAGTTCGAGCTATCCAACGGGAACTTTACGGGTTTTCTTCAGTGTCTAATACCTAAATAAGGATCAATTTTCCATAGAAAGTCCTATCAGTAGGCATTTCTCCATGAAAAATCGCAAGTGTCTTTATCGCTAATCGGCCAGTTATAAAAATTTTAATCTGTCTTAAGCGAATATGAATTGAGAAAGAAAGCAAGGGTGCGAAACGACAGGTGCCACAATTGTGGGAATGAATAAATGTCCACAGAATTGGTTTTTAATTGCTTATTATGGTCATAAGGTGTACATAGATATTGAATCCCCTTACTTTTTCGTTATAAATATACTTGCAGCTCTTAAAATATTGAAATATCAATCTTGGCCCTGGAGGCATAGATTTTGACTATCATAGGCATAAATAATCATTACGTGATTTTAAACTAAGATTTAACAATTCTATTTTGATGGCTGTTTTATATCATAATGAAATGATGATTTAATACCTCCCACTCTTGACATATGGATGTATCATGGTATTAAATTATCACTTCTTTGTGAAATTTAGCAGATATTAAAAATAAAAACACAGCTTAAAGAAAGGAAAATCAATTTTTATTTAAATTAAGATTAAATTGAATATTTTTATTTTAATTGATTATTTGAAATTAAATCGAAATATGTCAACATTACCCCACTTGGTAAATGTCCATTCGCATTACAAAACCTTGTTAAGTAGTCTTTCAATGTTGCTGCTCCCACAGTATCAATGCATTCGAAGAAAGGTTGTAAAGGCTGTGTGGAAAGTGAAATTAATTTTTATTTATTTTAAATAATTTTATTTACATTTAATCAATGATATTAAAATCTAGAGAAATAAGAAATACTGTATATTTCTTTACATATATATTTAAAGAAACGTTTTTTCTTCACACAAATGCATTAAAATTAAACAATAAATTTTTTCAGCTTTCACAGTATTTTTCAGTATTTTTGGTATTATGCAACTAAAAATAAAAGCACGTATTTAGAAATATTTTGACTTACACTTTCTATCAATTTATATTGGCTTTCATGAGCATCCCTCGCTTTTATTTTTGCCAGCATAATACAAAGAATACTCTGATAGTTGATGAAATTTTTTAAATTTTTGTACATTTATGTAAATAAAAAATATTTCTGAAATTTTATTTATTTATTTATTTTATTTTCTACTTTGTAGTTTTATTGTATGGAACTCTTTATAAGTCAGAAAGCGTTTTGTCTGTGATTGAAGTTGAAAGCAACCGCAACACCATTAACATGACTTTTTGCAAATATGAAGCCAGAATTTTGGGAATTCGATCTATGGGCTGAGATATTCGGGATCAAATTTCGCTATGTAAAGTCTATGGGTGGGTTGCTGGTTATAAGCTCATCGCGCACTATATGTAATCTAGTTTGCCCTTGCTGTCAATTTACATTTTTCGACAACTTTTTATTTTGATCTTTACGAAGGGTATTTAAAATGCACGATGTTTTGACAAAATGAACTTTTTAAAAGTCGCACGTCTTTTGAAAAGTTGTGTGTCCTGTGGCTGCACATGTTCGTCTTTTAAACTGATTGCTGAAGTAGGTAGGATGGATGTACTGTACAGTACATGGACAATGACATCCCCGTATCTGCGGGGTTTAAACTGCTGTAGACAGAACGTTAGAAGCATATTACCATATTTATGTTTTTGTGTAATGCTGAAACAGAAAAACTAAGCCAGGGAGCTCGGTTTCCTTTTCCTAGAAAATACCTAATATATGTAACACTAAATTATCGAAATTCGTCTTGGTTTAGCATTTAATTTAACGTATGTTAGGCTATACTCTGTGACGTTTCGCTAACTTTTTGCAAAAATTGCTTGTAAACTCTAAATAAGAAATGTATTGTCTTCGGAAATATATATGTGTTAGCTTCTTTCTCCCTTTCAGGATCTGACACCAATCTATCATTTTTTTTAGCGGATAGATACGCGTTTAATTGAGGAGACTATTATCACGAGCGATCTCGTTGAGGACTTCGGGTTCAGTATGGAGGTGATAATGCCGGAAGAAACTCACACCAATCAAATTTCGTTAACAATATACCCGTTTATTGTTGAACATATTTACATAGATAATTAATTAAGGAGCCGAGGATACAGATTCTCCTCGGGATTTTCAATCCGTATAATTCATAAAATTCGGTTGGGATAGCGGACAAAATATATATTAGTCACGACCTCAACCGCGAGAGAGAGCTTACATATCATCGCGAGTAGAATAAATACCTCTAGTTGTAAACGTTGATGTCTAGGTGATATCCGAATTCTCGTTAGTCCCAGTGTTCGTAATCAAGTTCAGAATCGAAAAGTCTATCGAAGACGGTGGCGACGAGAGGCAGGAAAATCCACACACACACACACAATATAGAAAAATAACTTTCCCCCGCTGTCGTCATCGCACTTGCCTTTTATGTGGGGCTCTCTTCTCGAGATTTCCCCATGTACGTCACAGGTGATGATCTCCTTTGACCAATGGTGGGCGAAGTGACAAAATTATGACACAACAGAACATCTTCTACAAGGAAGTATTTTCGTGATTACGGAGTTTTATGAGCGATTTTTATGAGAAAATTTGTCGGTTATTTTTCTCTTTTTGAGTTAACCCTAACTTTTATAAAATCGTTTTGGTTTTGAAACAAAACGGTAGATGAAAATGAATAAAAATATTCGAATCTCAGCATTCTTAAATCCTGGTCCTCACATATGTATGTATCCCGCAAAAAAACAAGAAAAAATGAGGTAAATTAACAAAAAGCACAATACTGTAAATCAGGGGTCGGAAACCTTTCTGTTACTAAGGATGCAATTTTAAAAATACCAATTTTTACTAAGGGGCATAGTTTAATTTTTGAAAAAAAAAATCAATGTTGTAATAAATAAATGAAATAATTATGTTTTGAAATACGGTATGTATATTTATACAAAATAAAGATTATACATGTATGTAATAACTAAAAGATGAAAATTAAAAGTACACACTGTATATAGAATAACACAAAATCAAATTAAATAAAACTACAAGTATATAGTTTATATTTGCGCTCGCTTGACTATGGTTCTAGAGGGTGATCTGAAATGCGCCACGAGCGCCACGTTTTCGACCCCTGCTGTAAATGGTGCTTTGCTTTTCATATAATTTATAGGCTTTCATAGAGGTGAAAACATAACAATTATAAGCGACATATAAAATAAATTTAAAAATGAATAACTTAAGATAATATTAAGAATATAAAAAGTAAATTATAATATTTTAAATTGTAGATAATCCTTGGTTAACGCAGTAGATAGATACATTTCGTAAAACTATGAGTATTAATTAAAAATTGATATCCCATAAAAATGTTCATAATAGGAGCTGTCAATAAATTACATCATGCAGATATGGGTGAATATGCGGGCAATCGTTACGATACGTTATAAGGGGTGGGGATGTTTACATGTGATGACTTAATGTTAGGGCCTCGACCCTTGTGTAACAGAATGATTTGTTTTTGTTACCGAGGTACAGTATTGTATTACGAACCGTACTGTTTGTGTCACTGATTTGTAAGTAATTAATAAAATAATGTAAGGTTCAATACCCCGCACTGTGTATTATTCCTTAGTAGGGCTACAGTTAAGGAGATTGATCGAGAATATGCGTTCTGTTATTTGGCGGTTGGATATGTACCACAGCGTCACGATAGTTGAAAAATATAAAAATAGCGTTACATAATTTATGGATGATCCCATAGTGGTTGAATGCATTCTTAGAATCCAGTATACATTTGAGATTCGCTTGACTTTTGTAATTTGACTTCAACTCGTAAGTGCCGAATTCACCCAAGTTAAATATATTGTTATAGCAAAAGAAGTTAAAATTATAACTGAATGCCTCTAAAGACTCCAGACAGCTATCTTAGGTATCAATTCCTCGATTGAGGTCAACTATATAAAGATTTTTCCTCTGCGGATGGCCTCTTTTGATTGTTAGAAAAAATTTCTGAAGTTATTCTGGAGACATCCTTAGTTCAAATATTTCGAGAATTTACAATAGAGAAATCTTCCGAATGAAAACGAAAATAAAGGTTGTTTAAAGAAAGATGCTTGACCAAAAAATAACAAGAGTTAAGCTGAGAAATTACAGCATGAGAATCGGGCTAGGATACTCGATTTCAGGTAAGGTCTAGTGATCTTCCCAGAAACTGTTTACCAAATAATTAATGTGTATTACATGAATCAAATTAAAGCGAAAACACATTAACCGAGGATTATTTGTTTACTATATTAAAGTTAACAGTCATTAGATAAATGAATAAAATGATTGCTTTAATAGATTAAAAAAATATATTACTTCGAAGTAAGTCATGACACATTTCCAGATATATTCATTCGCATAATCTGATAGATTTGCATCTGTAAAAACATTAAATTGATGTTAATTTAAAATATAAATATATCATCTATTAGTTAATAACTGTTAAAGTATCAAACATAATTCCTTTTCTAATATACAGTATAGGCGAGACCGTTCCACATCCGGACACTTTTACTTTCCCGGCTGTTATATATAACAGAGGAAAGTATGACGATCGATCAAAAGATGACCACTTCCCCTCCCCAGATTTTTACATTTTTGGACTCAGGGGACCGCGAAATGTTCAGAAACGCAAAAAAATTCGGTTTTTTTTGTATGTATTGATATTAGTCTGTGTGGGGGGTACGATTTTGTTTACCCTATTTGAAGCTTAATAACTCCCGTGCCTTTTGTCGAAAATTTCTGAAATTTTGCAGGAAGATTTATTAGAAGATTGATGCTATTAAATTTTGTTGAGTAAAGGTCCAGGGAGATAATGGGGGTGGTGTGTATCTTCAGTAGGATCGAGCTTAATGACGATTTTACTCGTTATTAGCATTTACAATTTTTTATAAAACCCATCCTTACCCTAAAAATTTTTGCTATTTTATAATAGTTAAAAATATAAAAAGTTTTTAAATAAAAATATGAAACAGGTGGTGCCACCAAATGTTGCCGAGGAAAGTTAAGCAACTCGTTGCTGGATTTTTTTTTTGTTTGCAATCATTTATTGTAAATTGAGATTGTAGAAAACAAATTTAATTATATACTCACTGCTCATTACCATCTTTTGAAGCTTTTCGTAGGTATCGAAAGCCCAAAACTTAAATTTTCAAAAACGGCAAATCGTCGAACGGGGTAAGGATGTAAATACAGCTCTTACTAATTATTACTTTTCAAAAGGTACAGTACAATGTTGATGTAAACCTATAACAACATAAAGTCCGTTCCACTAATGGGCATATTTCCAATATCTGACACGTCCTGTACTGAAATGGTATGTATTGTTCGGATGTGGAAACGGAGTGCAATAACGAAAAAAACTTGCAATTTGATAATAACGTAACAGGGACCTAAACGCAGCCCAATACTTATTTCTTCACGACTTACAAGTTAGTCTCAACTGAAATGCTGCCAAGCATGCTGACTGACAATCTTACGAATGTCTCCACGAAAAAGTTAAACAAGACCTCTGAAATTGGTTTATTATTCCTTACTTCTTATGTTCATACACTTCCATCTTCCTGAAGTTCATACCGCGAATTCAACGGATGCCATTTAACAATAAACTCGGAAAGTCTCTTAACAAGTCACGAAATTTAAATCGTCCATTGGTGGGACTGTCCGCACATGGAACGTCTCCTCTAATAAATTTTCGGTATGAAAATCTTATAATTTCTATACACTAATTTTATACTATTTATAAGATTTTTTTGTAAAATACACAATTAGTTTATGGATAAAGTTTTAACAATAATAAAAGTTAAAATACTTGTATTTAAACAAAATCATACTTAAAATGAAATACCTCTTTTATTGTTCTGATAAATGGGCTATGATAAAAATGTATTAATAAGGGGAAAAACGTAGTAACGGATTTTGCTCATGATGTATTTGTGATTGTGTATATCTGTGAGGTCTCATAGATAGGCCTGTAACAGAAACATAAGTCAAGACTGATTCCGAACCCGCTCCAAAATTTGATTTTAAATACTTTTAATAGAAGAAATTGTTGAGAGAGAGAAAATATTTTCATTATAGTTAAACGACAGAGAAACGGATATAAACAATGTTAAGTTTTAAGATCAACATCTCCTGTTGGGATCAGAATTCGGGGTGGAATTAAACGTCAAAGTCGATCTCTTCCGCGGCTGACTTGGTCTCGAATTACTCCTGGAAACAGGTACGAGATCAATCGAGATGATCAATCGAGATGGGTGGCAGAAGGGCCGAATAGATAAAAGCCCGTGTCTCAAAGACACGAGGTTCGTTGTTGTGTAGTTCCTTTAGAGTACTTCTTTTAAAAAGATGGTTTCTATTTTTTTCAACAAAAGTTCGCGTTTTTGATCATGTTATTCGCAACTACTTGAGAAACGCCTGGAACCAATTATCTAAAATACCTGCAGAGACTCCGATTGCGACGACCTTTCTCTCTTTTTCCCGTCTGACAAGATGCTTCCGCTGAACAAAGCAAAAGACCACCGGTCAACGAGGGAATGGTCACCGACCCCGATCCCTGATTACGGACAGTTATGATTACGGGCGCATATGAAGTGTCCCACTACTCGAAACCCTGCTCTATCAATCTCTGGCCCAAAAGGATCATACGACCTACACTACCGTTACATTGATATCAGTTCGCGAGAAGATAACGGCGAATTGTTCTGTTAAATTAATTAATTAACGTCATATTCATTAAATTATTTTAAACTTTCTACACTTAAAAGCTGTCTAACTTCTTCTAAATATGAAATATAGCATCAGTCAAATTTTTTTCAGACACCGACTCCTCCAGCCCGGGACAAAACTTTAGAATAAGAAAAAAAAATATTGGAATGCCGTCTGCCGGGAATATTTCACAAATAATAAAGTAAAATTAAACAAAATGGTACTCAAAAGGAGGACAACACGGATCAAAGGCCGAGCGATCAAGGTGGCAGCGTGGGAAACCCTGAATTGGATCCGCAAGGATGAAATTAAGCTCCAGGAATTTTTCAGATGGTCCGGTGTTCGAATATGTTGGGTCCCGTCCCTCACCACCCGGAGGCCCCATTGTGGACCTGGTCAAACCCATAAAGGTGTGCTTGCTCTTAGTACCCACAGGGCGGAAAGAGTAAAAAGAAAAGTAATTAGTCTCGTTGTGATCTATCCCAATCTGTTCAATTTGAATAATATTGCATTAGAAACTAGTGTGCGCGAAAATAACAAGGAAATAAATATTCATAAAAATTTATATTGTTAAAAAATAATTTAAACGGCGTATTTTTGTTTTACTGTATTTACATTAATTAACTTATTAAATTCTTCTCTGACTATAGATATTGTTCTGGATAAAGATCATTCAAATATAATGTCACCAATTTCAGTCAGTTTTATTACCTAACCCTCCTCGTCACATTCTGTCACCAATTTTTAGACATTCCTCATGTCGATGTAAGGATCGATCTGCCACCTCTAACATTAAAATCAAGCATTTTTGTAAAACAAATCTGCGCTATATTAATTAACATATAAGAATCTGCATGTTTCCTGTCAAGACGAGACAAATTTTAAAAAAATTACACTTTAGTAGAAGCGCTGTACTGAATGATCAAAATGTTGCCATTATCCTTTCATATTAAACGTTCTAACAGAACTTTTAATATGAAATAATAATGACAACATTTTGGCCTTTACAGATATTAATTACAGATAAAGATACCTCTGAAAGATATACCGATGCATCATAAGACTCGGTAGAGGCAAGCCATCAAGTAAGAGAGCGAATAACGTATTATCTTTAGTAGTTATTTTTACAATGTCATCATACTCTTCTTCTGTGGTTAATTGGTAAATTTTCTGTTTTGTTTTGTTGTTTTTTTTCCTATTGCCTATTTTTAAATAAGCAATAACTTGCTGTGAAATAATCTTCCCTGCAGTGCGGATGTCATAGTTGAATGACTCCTTAGAATTTAAATTATACTTGAACTTAATTACTTAAAAACTACTTTTAATAAAATAGAAACTGTGTAAAAATAGATTTAAAATATTCATTCCATTATTTTATATTATAAACATATAAGAATCTGCGTAGTAGACACGCTTACTTACCGCATAATGCTAAAGTTCCATAATGGAAACTTTTTACCTGTAAAGAAATCGTTCCGCCTTCCGAAACAAACGAAAAGGATAGAACAAGAAGAGAGAATAATAAACGATTCATCTTTCGACGATCTTTACATGTAATAAGAATCATTAATCTTTAATATTTCCAATTAAATTTTATCAGAAAAGGAAAAGCGGTAATCGCTTGTTAACTTCCTGCATTTCTCATTACTTGGAAAAAATCTCTAAATTTCAATAAAGAAGATAAAAATCAATTATTTTTATTAAATTATATAAAATTATACTTAATTACATCAATATAACTAACAGGTAATTTGAAGTATTTGCTGGTAATATTTAAAATAATAAGCTTCATAAATGAATAATTATGCAATTTAAAAAAAAAAAGGTGTAATTTATATCTGGTGCATGAAGTGGTTTGAATATTATGAACCACTGTCTCACAATAAACTTTCATCAAGTATAATTTTTTTAATCAATTTTCATTTAATAGAATAATTTTTCTTTTTATAAAAATTAATTATTTTATACCAATTTGCTCGGGTTTTTGAGGGAGTGTGGAATTGGAAGAGGATGATAAAAACGATGGTCTTAGTAACTAAAATGTGCATTTATTGACCTCAGTATTTATAATAACGAAACCGTAAAAAATATATATATATGCTCGGGCTTGCGGGACAATGACAAAAGATCATTCACGTCCCGTTGCATAACTTTGGTGATCCATATTTCGCATAAATAAACATTACTGATGCTCCAACATATAGCTTTAGATTATTAACTGGTATGGTAGTCCAGCTGTTTCCGAGGAGTTTAAAATTTTCACCGGGTACATTCAACAACGCATTTGTTTTTAGATGCCAATATTGTTCTCTAGTATATTTGTATAAACACAGTGCACCCCTTTATGTCCAGTTCGTCGAGAGGAGGGAGGAACCATCCACTCGTTTCTTTCAATCTCAATCACTGTACATTTATTCTTTTCTCAGATGAATAATATTTTTGTTTAGCTCACCAATAAATTTAAGTTAAGTTTACCTGATTGGTTCTAATCTGCTGAAAGTTTTATTTCCCAGTAAAATCCGCCCTGTTAGCCCATTAATCAGACGCAAACTTGAAATCAACTACTAGTGTTTAGTGGTTTTATCCATTCGTTTATTGATGGACTTCTAATTGCTATAAGATCATCTTAATACCGAATTAAATCCAATTAAATAACAAGACGACGAATATCATTGAATAATTTCTTGTAAAATAGAAAAAGCAAATGAAATTAAATAGATTTTAATATCGAATTCAATTTATTTCTCAATTAATTACATTTTATAAAATTCCAATTTGAAATTTCATTCATTATTCGTTTTCGTCACTTGAAGATTCGAGCTGATATTTTTTCAAACAGTATTGAAAAAGCCCTCTTTCTCTACAAGACATCCACTATTTAAAAATATAAAAATAATTTTAATATAAAATTTGCTTATAAAATTTTTATTAATTCTTAAGAAAAACAAATCTTACTATGTGACGTGATACTGCATTATTGTAAAGACAATCGTAGAACTGTAATAAGGAAAGAAATCATTATTTAATTTTCAGGATTTGCTTTGAAAACTTAAAAATGCAGGAAAATAAATATTATTTAACGATAAATTTTAAAATAACCTTAAATTAATATTCTGAATCACATTTAAAACATTTTTATAATAGNTGACTATGAAGAAGATTTTTTAAAGTAATAAGGATAGATCCGGGATCAGTTTGAACTGATGCTCGTTTGGGAGGACGAACCAAACTGTACACAGTCATCAGTCTGTACAGGTATAAGAACTGCACTGTTGTGGGATGAGAATTGCTTCCACTTCCTTGTCTTATCATTCCAAAGAAACGCTAATTGAAAAGAAAACATAAGTTAAAAGTTTAATACAAGATTATATAATCATTACACTAAGTCAGTTTTGATTGATAAAAAAAATATCAGACAATTAATCTTAAAGTATTTACAAGGAAAGGTGGGCCACAGAGAGATAGCCCTCAGTGAATCACAGTGGGTTTCACAAACCCAGCTCAATCTTTAGTTAACATTTTTTTAAATATAAAAATACTGAAAATATTTATACTGTATTCTTCCAACTTTTCAGTCCGATCAACATGATCAACGTGTAGTTAGAACGTTTTTTTATTTGACTTTACTTGGACTAGATGTCTTATCAATAGCTTCCAGTCGAAAAATTTACCGGGGAAATTCATTACTTCTATATAATAGCGAGAAATAATTAAACCGAAAGTATTTTAGTTTTGCGTGCAATTTTACCACGAAATGTTTCTATCAAAACACTTATTCGTTTAAATAACGTCAATAAACATGTAAATTAGAGCTAAATTGAAGCTGAAAAACGACGAAAATAGCGATTATCTAATAATTAATATCGATAATCGAATAATAGCGATCATATAATAATTTAATTGCAACATTTATAAATTTTTTTCATTCAACACATCCAATGTATTATTGTATAATTCTGTGTCTATCAGCATAGCATTTTCAGATAGTGTATCAGAAGATGTTATTGCAATTAAATTATTTTCGAAAAGTAAACTCTCATAATACACTACACCATCTTTTAGCCGCTGCTTCGATACATCACTGTATAAAGAGTTATCATCAACATTTTTTCGTCACAACGTGAAGAACTTGCTTCTCTTTATGACATTTTTTTAATTATAAAATAATTATTCAAAATAAATTTAACTGAACAAATACGTCTATTCGTGTCGAAATTCAGAAACGAACTGTTAAAGAGTGAGTGAAAAAGAACTCCGATAGAAAAAACGCTCCAAGTGAGAATTAGATCGGTCACCGTTAGTGATAACAATTAGATGGGAAAGTTGACAGATAGGTGTCAACAACGCTCCGTTATTGTCAACAAAAGTAAAAAACTATTAGACTTGGAATAGTAGAAATTAAATTTAAATAAATAAATACAGTCGACCTCCCTATAACGTGGGTTCCTATAATGGAAATTCCTATAACGTAGCGAAAAAATTGTAGCAACTTTCGTATAACGTACCTCCTATAACGTCGTTTCGCGACAAGATTGATAGAGTCTGGACCAATAGTGGATGAGCAGCCGAACTACTTTCCTCCGACCCTGCGCCACGCTACGGAGCGGCTAAATTGAGTTTGCTATCGTCTGTTTAGTATTATATATAAATTATATATAAATTAGGTACTGTACATATAATTATATATTAATTATATATAAATTAGGTACTGTATATATAATTATATATTAACTTAATTTATTGTAACTTTATTATAATTATATATATGCTTTCTGCCGCCTGGCAACACGCTACGGAGATTTTAGGCTAGTAAGTTGAGTTTATTATCGTCTGTACAGTATGTAAATTAGGTACCGTAAGTCTAATACAGCACTAATTTTATACATTTCTTGTGAAAGAAACATTTCTTATTCAACGGCCATAAAAATTATTTATATTAATGATGTCTCCAAAGGTCAAGTTATTTTTCTGCGAAAAATTCGTTATCAGAAATCGCGGCCGCCGTTTCGTGCGCTGTTCCGCGATGAAAACAAGCTTGAGCAACGCCGTAGTCGAACGGTGCACACTCGGTAAGAAATCCTACAATTTTTTGTTTATAGCGTAGTTTATACGGATTATTCCCAAAAAATTATACGTGTTTTGGAAATGTTGAGTCGAATTAGTCTAGAATCGGTTAATTTTATGGAAGAAAACCTTTCAAACAGCCGTAGTCCGTAAACTTCACACGTGTCGGGCTGTTATTGGCTCATGTATTTAAGGATTCCTACAACGTAAAATTCTTATAACGTGGAACGTATCTGCGCATTATAGGGGGGTCTACTGTAATAATAAATAAATAAACGAGTAAATAAATAAATACATTATAAGTATTTACGAATTAAAAAAAAAAAGTATACATGAGAATCGAACCCGAGAACTCAAGCGTACGAATTAGGCTCGTTATCACTCAGCCACAGAACGCTCGAATGAAAACACGTATAATTTATATATAAAGTGCTAACAAAACTTTAAGTTCGTTTTTCTCGATTATATTTGAGTATTGCACTTTAGTATTTTACAAATAGTACACTCACATGGTGTACTACCGCCACACCAAAGATCATCAAAATCCGTTTCCCCAAAGTCGTAGGGTCTCCTTGTGAGTCGAAAAAGCCTCTAATAAAACTTCTTACTAGAAACAAGGACAACGGGCTAACTATATTAACTAATAAAGTTGCCCGTTTTTTTTGTTTCTAGCCATTGTAACCCGTAAACATTTCCTCTTACTTGATAGCTTTGCGGCCTTCAACCCTATTTGCCACTGAATTCGACCAACCAGCACACGCATACTCGTATCGATGGCAGACGGACTACAAATCAGAATTATAACATTTCGAGGAAAAGTTTATAGAAAATAGAGTTTTGGTGTTTCAGAGTAAGCCAGTGGAGTGATAAACATTTTCTAAAGTTTTTAATGCAACGCCAAAATAATTATAGTTGTGTAGAATGTATACTCGGCCTGTAATCTACCCGCAGCTCTCCTACTGAGCAAAAGTGATTCTAGACAGAAAATTCTCTCTATAATCTCTAATTTCATCAGTATAA